ACCAATGATTGACCCAGAGTTTCCAAAGTTGCTAACATCCAGTGATTCTGAAGACTGAACTTGATTAGCAGAAGCTTTTCACTTAGAATTCTTCCCCTTTGTGAACTGGAAATCAGGTGGATACCCATTCAACTTGTAGCAATTCTCCCGTTTGTGTCCAGAAATATGACAAAACTCACACTTAATGTATGGTTTTTTTCCTTTATATTTTTGCCCCTGACTCTGATTCTTGCCACTTCCAATATGATTGGCATAAAGTGCAGTAGTCACTTCTGAACTCAGAGTCATTCTAGCCAAAACTTTCTGGCTCTTGTCTTGATTTACTACTGAGTAAGCCTGTTTAACACTCGGTAAGGGATTCATAAACAAGATTTGACTTCGAACCATGGAGTAAGACTCATTCAATTCCATTAGGAATTGCAACAACTTCTGCTGGTTCAAGTGTTCTAGATAAGCTTTAGCCGAAACACTATCAGGTACAGGAAGACTAACCAAAGAGTCAAGCTCATCCCACAACGATTTGAGCTTATTGTAGTAGATAGCCATAGTATTGGTTCCTTGTGTTAGGTTAGCAATTTCCCGATAAAGACCATAAACTCTAGTTCCACTCATTTTGTGACATTAATCCTTCAAATCCTGCCATACCTGAGCAGCACTCGTCGAGTAAACAATTCTATTAAAGATCTATATGTAGAAACCGAATTGAAGATCCAGGCAAGAACCAATGAATTGCACCTCTCCCACTGTGGAATCAAGCGAGAGTGTATTGATGATTTGGTGCATGTGCCAATAACAAACCCTAATTTGTTCTTGGCACAGAGAGATATCATCATTGCTCGACTCCAGATATTGTAGTTTTTCATCCCGATGAGCTACTCAGAAACTAGTACAGAACCTGTTGTATCCGATGGATGTACATAGAGCAGTGAATTGGAATCAATTGATGGAATTACTGCTTCCTCTATCGGATTTGCCATGATAGCTTCTAGAATCAAGAATTAGAGCTTAGATCAAACTGGAAATTGAAATCGAAAAGAGGAATTCGAAGAATGTTAAGTCTTATCGCACTTTCTTGAACCACAAAAGAAGGTTTAATCGGCTTGATTTACTGATCAAGAAACGAAGAATTTTGTTGCTCTAATACCATATTGCAGAAACTAAAATTGACATAGAGAGATGAATTTTGGGGAAAAATACTTGGTCTTTATTGAAGGCACTGTTTTCTTTTATATACAAACTTAGTCAACTGAGCTAATCTGAGCTAGAGTGCATTAACCAATTAAGCTAACTAAAAAAAACTGATTAACTAACAAATAAATTAATTACAATATTACAACTTGATTTGACTATTATACCCTTATTCGTCTAATAAGAAGTGAACATAATTGTTCCAGGAGCTCTTGAACTACAGAGGATCTTCAGTTATTCTATGCTTGAAATCAAGTAAAGCTAGTTTGTCAGACTCGATTGATGCATATTCCAAGCCTGAAATCATCTGCAAAAGATGATGAAGGAGATGTAACAGAAACCTTTTAAAATTCAAAGGATTATCCTCCATTGTTTTGGGACATGCATAGTTCTAGCAAGGAAAGTGTGAAATGCCCATTTGAGCTACATAAAAGCCTAAGTAAAAGAAATCAACTTGACAAAAATTAAATGTTACTGGGCCCATAAATATTTTATGCATCATATCAAGAAATCTTGAATTATTGTTAATTGATATCATACTTATCTGCAAAAGTAAACCCATCAAATCAGGAAGATGTCTTTTCATATTCATTATCAAGAAGGAAATGCAGGTTCAAAGAACCTGAACTTGAAATAATGCAAACAATATTTATAGAGGATATAAGTATACAACACGAAATTCTAGCTTCCCTTAGTAGGTTTCACCGATGAGTTTTGTTATGTTACGGAAGGTAAAATGACATTGATGATATAATTACTAATGGTGGGTGTGGTTTGAGAAATGTTTTAGTGGGTATAAATAATTAAGATGTTTAGTTGGGAATAATAAAATTATCCATAGAGACTTTTATTGAATTATCTTTCCTTTTTAATATATAATAATAATAATATATTATTATTATTATTATTATTTACATAAATTCTTTTAACCCCTATATTTGAGAATTTAGCTAAAACACCCCCAACAAAGTTTAAATTTTAACAAAATACCCTCAGCCATCCAAGACCACTACTGACAGCTGGCCACCATCGCTTGCCACTGGCGTCAGTCACCAAAATAGCGCACGACCGGCGAGATCAGGTTGGCTGTGCGCCATTTTGGCTGTTTTCGGCCAGATCAAAGGCCGAAAATGGCCATATCCATGCTGATCTGGCTATTTTTGGCTAGATCAAAGGCCGAAAATAGCCATATCGCCATTGGTTTGGTCAGAAACGACCACAAATGGCCGCTCTATTTTGGCCGTTTTCGGCCAAATCCACGTCGATATGGCTGTTTTTGGCCTTCGATCTAGCCGAAAATAGCCAGATCGGCGCACGACCGGCCAGATTCTGCTGGTCGTGCATCAATCTAGCACTATTGCCGATGGTCGGCGGTGGTCTTTGGTGGGTGGGGGTATTTTGTTAACTTTTAAACTTTTTGTGGCTGGAGTGTTTTAGCTAAATTCTAAAATGTAGGGGGTCTGGGCTGATTGTTATTTAGTAGATATTTGAGGGCAATTGTGTTCAGAATGGTATTTAATTAAGGCAAAATGGATATAAAATTAAGATTACCCCGGTAATCTTTAAATATCACCTCCTGAGGAGGTAATCTGATTACCTCATATTTAACTCATAGTAATCACTATTGGTATTGAAAGATTACTAAAATCTTTTATTACTTGACAACCAAATAAGGGAATATCCAGAATTAAAGATAGATTACCGAAGTTATCTTTCTAGAGCCCTAACCAAACACATCTTAAGAGTAAACGACTTTTTCCCACCCAAGGTTTACTTTAATGAAACTTTTCCATCCAAAAAGTTTCGAAATACAATTTTAATACCCAAAGTTTATATTATGTTACTACCCAAAATACACTTCCTTTAGGCTTTGTGATTCGGCGGCAAACAGAGAGCAAGCTGTTGGGGCTTTTGAAGAGGGGAGGTCGTTGAGTCTTTTGGTGGTGATATGTTGGATTTTGGTGGTCAGGATTGGTCGGAATCTGACTTGGATGGGCGGTTGTGCGTTCCACAAATTGCTTGATTGTCGGGGTTGGCGAGAGCAAGGTTTGAAGGGCTTTAGTGAGTGATGAACATGGAAGAGAATGGTGATGGTGTGGGGTCGCAATGATATCGGAATCGGCTGGCGATTGGCTGCGATATCAATTTGATATAGTCTTCAAAATTTTAATAACTTTCGAAAATCGCTGAGAAGTTTGACGTTTATTGATTTCAGTCGTACTTAAAATCAGTTTGATATAGTCTTTAAAATTTTAAAAATAAAAAGAAGAAAAGGAAAAAAAAATTAGGTTATAAAGTAATATTATTGAACTAATTTTACTTTATTTATGCTTGCAAATTAAAGAATATGTTTAAGAGTTTTACTTTTCAATTTTGGTAGCGTTTATGTTAGGATTTGATTAAAGTATAAGTTATTTATTGTCTAAAAAATGTTGTTATATATTTTAGGCGAATATAATAAAATAAATAAGGAAAATGGTTTAATCAATATTGTTAAAGACATTGATAATTACTTGTTTATTGAGCTGAGTGTTTTTATTGAGAAACACAAGTAAACAAAGTAATGACGAAAACAAATTCAAAAAACAACTTAAAATGAGAAGAAAATAAATAATATTTTAATATGAATAATAAAAATTTTAGTTTTTATTATTATTATTTCTAAACATTATAATTGAAATATTAATAAAATTATAGAAAATAACACTTAAATCTGTAAAATTTTTGGTTAGTATAAAAACTATTCCTTTTAGTTTCAATAATAATTTTTAAGCGTTAGATCTATGTTGTTAGTAATACTGAATGACGATTGACGGCTATGATCATGCCATATGCTAAATTTCAGTGTCAATTCTATCAGGCCATCCGTCCGATCTCCCAAGCACAATCAAACGGCAGTTGCTATTTAAGTACCCAACCCTTAGTCAACCTCAATCAAAAGGTTAATGTACTTTTATTTTAGCCGTTGGATTAAATAGAATGTTCCAAGGATCTACAATGAACTATATTAAATAAAATTAATTTATCAAAAAAATTTAAATATTACTTAGATACTTCATAATCATACTTAACTTTGTGTCAAAAGAGTTGTACGATAATTTAATATCAATAACATTAAATATATCATTATTTTGATTATATAATATGATTGTGGCTATTTTTTATTTTACATGTGTTATGTCAAAAAAAAAAAAAAATTAATTTCTACTAATAATAAAAGAATATTTAAAAAATAGGGCCCATCCCTTCAACAATGATATTGACCAGACCACTCTACCGACGTAGCTCTCTCTACCTTCTCCATTCTGAAGACAATTTCTTAGCTAGTAACAGCAGAGATTGAGCATGATCTATGGAGATCTGTTTTCATCTTTGAAATTGGGTCCATCACAACAACTGTCGGTGTTCAGTGAATCTCCTCTTTCCGCACTTCTCCTTCAATCACAACTTTAATGAGCCACTAAATTCCATAACAGCAGCCTACGTTGAATTTAAGTAACGATAAGACATTGCATTAGTGCGTCACGATAATAAAAAACAAATAGAGGTTCATTCAGTAGGATTTTCTGCAGAAAAAAACAAAACAAGAAGAATTTATCACTACTTTACGAGCTTTCCATGTAATTTTCTCTCGCATTGCACAAATTTTCCGCGTAAGAAGACTTGCTTTTTGATCATCACAACATAGACTTTAGTATGCGTTAGCTTAATAGCTTTGTAATATAAAGAGAAGCCATGGATTGAAGCTGAACATATACAGATTATCAAAACAGCAAGAACATATTTCTTCCATTTCATAGATTCTTCGAAAAATGAATGCTAACGTTTTCGGGGCAGCATTCTTAGTTTTCATCCCTTCTATCCTTCTTAGTTACTCTCGAATCACTTTCTCCCACGGCGCCAATCCTGGAAGTGAAACAGATAAACTAGCTTTGCTCGCTTTCAAAAGTCAGGTTACCTATGATCCCTTTGGAGAATTGAGTACCTGGAATGATTCTCTTGGGTTTTGCCAGTGGCATGGCATCACTTGCAGCCTTCGACACCGAAGGGTCACAGCTCTGAATCTCCCCGACCAAAATTTGACAGGTACCATTTCTTCATACATAGGAAACTTGACATTCCTCAGAATTATAAATCTTCAAAACAACCATTTCTACGGTGACATACCACATGAAATGGGCCGTCTGTTTCGGTTGCGAGCCATGGTGTTCAACCGTAACATGTTTCAGGGAGAGATTCCCATTAATCTCACTCGTTGTTCAGAACTCAGGACTCTTGACTTAGTCATGAATAAGCTGGAAGGGACAATTCCTGCTGAACTAGGCACTTTGTTTAAATTAACTGGACTTGGGCTTGCCGTCAACAATCTGACTGGATCCATCCCTCAGTCACTTTCAAACCTTTTGTTTCTAGAGAAGCTTTCTCTATCAGAAAACAGTCTCAGCGGCGATATCCCTGTTGGGCTTGGCCAATTGAAGAGGCTGAACATGTTCCAAATTTCAGTAAATAACTTCCTAACAGGTTCAATTCCCTCCCAGCTCTTTAATATCTCTTCTATGGAGTACTTTGCTGTAACAGGCAACCAACTTGTCGGAGAAATCCCACCTTACATTGGACTCACACTTCCTAATATCCGTGTACTTCTTTTCGCGGGTAATAGGTTTACAGGAGCTATACCTCACACAATATCTAATGCAAGTAAACTTGAACAGCTAGATTTTTCAAATAATCATTTTACTGGTTCAATACCTGTAAATCTGGGAAGATTGAAAAATCTGACCTTGCTCAACTTTGCTAGAAATAACCTTGGAACTGAGGAGGGTGATGACCTCAGTTTTCTCTCCTCTTTGGTTAACTGTACCCACTTGAAAGTACTCAGCCTGAGCAAAAATAGTTTGCATGGGAAATTGCCGGATTCCATTGCTAATTTCTCATCTGAACTTACCTATTTATTAATGGGACAAAACCAGATATCTGGTAGCATCCCAACAGGTATTGAAAAACTCAAAAGTTTGATCTCAATAGGCATGGAGGAGAATCTTCTCACAGGAATCATTCCAATTACTGTGGGATATCTCTCGAAACTACAGATATTGTCCATATTTGGAAACAGTTTTTCAGGTGAAATTCCTTCCTCCCTTGGAAATTTAACTTACTTGTCAGAACTAAGTTTAGATAACAATTCCATACAGGGAAGCATACCTTCAAGTCTAGGGAACTGCCAACTACTGCAGAATTTAGGTCTCTCAGGAAACAACCTTTCTGGGGCCATACCATTTCAAGTTATTGGTCTACCTTCCTTATCAGGATGGTTGGACTTGTCTCGCAATCATTTAACTGGCCCTATACCTTTGGAAGTAGGTAGCCTGAAAAATATACGAATGCTAGACTTATCAGAGAATAAATTATCAGGGCAAATTCCAAGTTCACTTGCAAATTGTCTTAGCCTGGCGAGCCTAAATCTGAGAGAGAATTCCTTTCAAGGACATATCCCTCCTATAAGTTCTTTAAAAGGTCTTGAAGACCTTGATATTTCGCAGAAAAACATTACAGGGAAAATCCCCAATTTCTTGGATACATTTCTGTTTCTGCAAACGTTAAACCTGTCCTTCAATAATCTTGAGGGTGAGGTACCAAAAGAAGGTATCTTTAAAAATGCAAGTGCAGTTTCAATCATAGGAAATGGTCAGCTTTGCGGAGGAATCCCAGAATTGCATTTGCATAGCTGCCCATCCATTGGCTACAGGAAATTATGGCAACGACTCGCTTTCAAAATAACAGCTTCCTTGGCTATTTGCTTGCTTTCAATATGCTTTGTGGTAATAGTCTGTTGGAGGAGAAAAGGAAGAAAAGCGTTGGTTGATTCTCCTATGGAGGGTAAGTATTTGAAGATTTCTTATGCAGAGCTCCTGAAAGCAACAGAAAGGTTCTCCTCAGCAAATTTGATAGGCAGTGGGGGCTATGGTTTCGTGTATAAAGGCAGTCTAGGCCGCGAGGAAACACCTGTTGCAGTGAAGGTACTAGATCTTCAACAAAGGGGAGCTTCAAAAAGCTTCACTGCTGAATGTGACGCCTTGAGGTGCATTCGACATCGCAATCTTGTGAAAATAATCACTTCTTGCTCAAGTCTAGATAACAAAGGCAATGAATTCAAGGCTTTGGTTTATGAGTTCATGCCTAATGGGAGTTTAGAAGAGTGGTTACATCAAAATAATGAATTGGAAAATCCGAGGCCAAATCTGAATTTGATGCAAAGGCTGAGCATCGCCATTGATGTAGCGAATGCATTGGAGTATCTCCACCACCATTGCCACACACGCATTGTTCATTGTGATCTTAAGCCAAGCAATGTACTACTTGACAATGACATGGTCGCCCATGTTGGTGATTTTGGGTTAGCAAGGCTACTTTATGATAACCCTCCTCAAGACCCAACCAGCTCAAGTAGGTTAAAGGGCTCCATCGGTTATGTCTCTCCAGGTAACACCAACCCTTTTCTTAGAATCTTATTAAGGCTGCATTTGGTTCTTGAAAAGGGTAACAGAAGATTAAAAGAACCAAGTATTTTTTTTTTTTTTAATAAAAAATTTAAGAATCGATTTTCAGTGTCCTTTTTAAGAATCAAAAGGGAGACTAACAGATTTTTCATTACTTGTGAGTAACCTTTTCTCTTTCGTATTAATTATTAAGTGTTCATTTTTAATTAAAAACAGAGTATGGATTATCTGGTGAGGTTTCAACATATGGAGATGTGTACAGCTTCGGCATCCTATTGCTGGAAATGTTCACTGGAAGGAGACCAACCGATGACATGTTCAAGGAAGGCCTTAGTCTACACAGCTTTGTAAAGATGTCAGCACCAGATCAAGTTGCTGATATCGTGGACTCAACAATTCTGGAAGAAGCTCTTCAAGTCGAAGATCGCAGAGGCATATTGCAACCAACCTTACAAGGCAAGATTCACGAGACTCTAGTCTCATTGTTGAGACTAGGGCTCCAGTGCTCCGCAGAATTGCCAAGCGAAAGAAAGCAGATCAAAGATGTCGCCGTGGAATTGCAAGAAATCCAAAAATTGCTTCTGGCTTTCAGGTTATAAGCAGCTTAGATATGTCAACGACTATAAGCATGCTTTAACGTTGCAGTTAACGAATAAAAGTGATCAAATTCAATGTAACATGGTTGGCAAAGTGAAAGAGGTTTTGATCTAGGGTTTTGAAATGAAAAGAGAAGGATGGGGAAGAAGAAGATGAAAAGCGGTTAAGGGGTGAGACGGTAACCGGAAAATATGAAAAGAGACGATTAACCTGTAAAGGAGTTTTACAAATTTAACTAAGTTCCAATTTTTTGCCTAGAAAGAGTGTAAAATTCCCCTCTTAACCTTTCATAGTTAAATTATTTTAACGGCGTTAGGTCAAAGGGTAATTTTTGAATAATTTTCAAAATATAAGGGGGTTTTAAGTACCCCTATATTCCGTGTCTAACTAATAATTTTAGAAAATTTAAAATCAATCCGTCTAAAATTTATAATAATTCCAATCAAGATTTTAAAACTTCATATTCTATAAAGAAATAATACATATTTTTTGGCCAAAATTCTTTGATTTTATTAGGACGATTAAATATAATTTTAATCTTGATTTAGATTAAATAGAAGGAACAAGAATATAATCAAATGCTTAAATCTACTCTGTAAATATATACGGTTGTGTTTGGTTTACTATTTAGAATAGTATTCTATTATCTTTTTTGTCTAAATAATAAAAGTTAACATTTATTTTTATATTCAAATAAAACAATTTTTAAAATCCTATCTTACTACTTTTTTATCGTTGTCTCTCTCATCTTTTATATGCTCTCTCTAACAACTTCTTTTATATGCTCTCTCTGACAACTATCTTTCTTCTTCTTCTTCTTCCATGCATTCACCACCTACGCAAACGTCTTCATTCCTCTTCTTCTTTGTTGTTCTTTTTCTTCTTCATCACTCCTTCACCAAGCGACGAAAACTCTCTTCCTCCCTTTATCTCTCTCTCTCCATAGATAGTTTGACCAGCTCATTCTTCTTCTTTTTTACTCATTCACTAGGTGACGCAAACACGATATGATAACTTTGGTGTTTTAAAAAAAAGGTTCCTTATTCTAGATGGCATGAATAGTTACCCGTTAGAGAAACAAGCTAAAATTGCTATCGCAGGTTATGTACTTCATAATTTTATCAAAAGATACAATATGCAGAACTCTATCCTCGAACGGTTTAATGAAGATAGAGTTTATGAGCAAGAATATTTTGATGTCGAAAACGGGGTAGAAGATGAAGGGAATGGGGAGGGATCGAGTCAATCACATTAACATATTATAGACGACATGGTGACTCTGCGGGATAGCATAACTACTGAAATGTGGGCACAACATTTGACCATGTCGTAGTTGTTAATAGAGTATAGGTGTACGAATGATTGTTAGAGTTGATAATTAGTAGCTTCGTATTATTAATTCAGATATGTATTAATGTAGTGTTTTTAAATGATGTATTAATACTTGAAATTAATATGAAGAATTTGTTTTTAATTTAGTGTTTAAAAAAATTACCAAACAAATATTTAATATTATTAAAATGTAAATTGAAAAGTTTTAGGCTATAATAATAAATTATTTTAATGAAGTGCACCAAAATATTCTATCAATAAATCCTTTATAAAAAAAATATACCAAACAATTATTCAACAATTTATTCAACTCTAATATAATATTCAAAAATTTTACTAAACACATTTTCATATTCAAATCATATTCTCGTAATAACAATTCAACTCAACTCAACTCAACTTAACTTTTTCAAAAATACTACTCTAAATACTCTACAAAACACAACCTATATATATTTTTTATCATCGGGGGTGTTCGGGTAAGTTTATGCACCTCAACTAATTTCTCGAGACCTTAGAACTGTCGACCTGGTAAGAGTTCTTGTGGCCACCACTATTAGTGTCTCGAGAGACTTGAACTTAGGAGCCCATAAAGCTTTCTTTTGCTCTTTTACCATTAGGCCACTCAGTAGTGATTACTCCATAAATATTGCTAATGTGTGACACAAATTCCTTTTATATTGTTCTTATCTATTTGGGCGTTTAGTAAGGGCATTTTTGTATTGTCAAGGACTTAAGGTTTTAGTATATAAACTCCCTAACGTCATTGGTGAGAAACTATTTTATTCTTTTTCTTCCTGAAATCTATTGAGAAAGAGAGATAATAGATTTGTAATCAGACTTTTATTATAGTGGATTATTTTCCATTCTCTACCCGTGGTTTTTCCCAATTTAAGTTTTCACGTAAAGTCTTTGTGTCACTTGTTTTATATTTCTCACTTGTTTTATTTGACTTTCATAGATTTTGAGCATATTTCATAACAAACTTTATTGAATATTAATGCATTTACAACCTTAACTTCCCCACCTAATAACTTTATTGAATAATAATGCAGTTACAACCTTACCTTCAACCCACTGAATAAATTTGCTGGCAATGGCCATTTTCCCCGCTGGTCACCGATGATGTAATAGTTTCCGAATTACGAGATAGTTGACTCCCAAAACATATTTAAATAAACAGTAGTTTTAACTCAATTTGTTGTTCAAGCAAACGTGTCATTAGATCAACCAAGACTCAGGTTCTCCGTAGTTGCATATGTTGAATTTAAGTAACAATTGTCCAATTGATTAAGAATGGAAGTACTTTGGCTCCAGCCTCCAGCTGCACTAATATTAAATAAAACATATCCTGAAACTTCCAAAAACTAAATAAAGGTTCATTCAATATGATTTTCTGCATAAAAAGCAAAACTAGAAGAATTTATTACTGACTAAAGAGCTTTCCCTGTAATTTCCACTCGCCTTGCACAAATTTTCCACTTAAAAATTCTTGTTGATGATCATCACATAATAGATTATACTATGTGTTTGCTTAAGAATTTTGTACTATAAGTTTCCTGTGGGGAAATTTTCTTCCATTTCATAGATTCTTCGAAAAATGAATGCTAATGTAAAACCCCATTTCCTAATTTAGTTAATTAATTCTCTTTCTATTTGATTTTTGGTATTGTTGTAAGAAAGGGGTATTTCTGTTATTTTTAAAGTTTGCGTTAAGGGGTGAAAACAAAGGAAATAAATTCTGATGGGTTTGCCGTATCAAGAGGGGAAAATCTGGACACTTTTGCTAGGAGAAGCTTATGTGGCGGGGTTAGATAAAGTTAAGAGAGATTGGGGGGCAGATTCGAAATTTCAGAAGAAAAAAAAGGGGACTGTTTTGTTTAAAAAAGAAGAAAAGGGCTGTTCGCCCAAATGAAGAAAAAGAAGACGAGAACTGAGGGAGAAAGCGAGAGCAAAGCAGAAAAAAAAAAAAAAAAAAAAGGAGAAAGAGAGAAAAGATAGAAGAGAGGATTGAAAGAAAGAAAGAAGAAGAAAAGAAGAAAAACGAGAAGAGATGAGAATGGGTTCGGCTGAAAATGGTAGAGTGAGAGAGAAGAGTGGAGGAGAGTGCAGGGAGCTTCGACTGAGTTAGAATAGTGAGTGGATCTAAACTGTTTTCCTTAAAAACTTAAACTTATGCCATTGCATGTTGATTTTCTTTTACTACCGTCCATTTGTTTTTGCAAAAATCTTTACAAGCATGATGTTTGTGAGATATTTATTCTAGTTTGCTTTTGGCTAATTAAGTTGAATTGTGTTGGTGGCCGAAATCTTGTTGTAAAAATGAAAGTTAACTGGTTTGTGTTGTTACATTTGCTTCGGCTGCATGCATAATAAGGTGTTGGTTGAAAATAGCTAGCTAGAAATTGATTTGAGTATGAAGCTTGCTAAACTTTACCTTAGCATGTCCCGGCTGAGCAAATTTTTGAGTTAAAGTGTCTCAGATCTGAATTTAACAAAGCTGATTTGTGTTGCATGTCACCAGATCTTTCCTAAAAACACAAGACTCATGTTTGTATATTAATGTCTTGTTGAGAGCCTTGTTATTTTGTGAAGACTGCTTAAATTGTTTTCTTTTACATGTTTTTGGACGAATCTTTGAAGTGCTTGATTGAGTTTTTAAGTGGGATGCATTTGCTTATTAATTGTAACCACGTGCACTTGGCTGGATACATATTAAGATGATGGTTGACTTGTGTTTTTGATGAAATTATTGCTGGGTATTAAACTGCATACTTGACTGGATACCATGTTAAAGAAAGGACTGAGATTTGTGATGTTGGTAAATAATTTTCTCGGTAAAAAGTCAAAATGGGGTGCTTTTCGTCAGTTTTGAAAGTATGCTTTAAAAACTTGCATTTTACCCCCTATATTCCATGAAATCTCATATGTTGGCATGATTTATCATTATATGAAATATTCTTATATTATTATTATTATTATTATTATTATTATTATTATTATTAGGTTTAATTATAATTATAATGTGTTATATGAGTTTTGACTTTCAAACGTGATATTTGCTTATGATTTGTATCAGACATATGCTAAGATCATGTGATGTTGAAGTAATTTTTAAATCTCGGTTAAACTGTCAGTTTTTGAAACATGTTTAGAAAGTTGCAGTTTCACCCATATATGTGATTTTTGAATATTATGTCGTATATGTATGACTTATAAACACATACGTAATATGCTCTTGACTTACATGTTACTTGAGATTATGCATGAGATTGTTGTGGTGCTAAAACCACCCTACGAAGTACCCATCCCCTAGAGATACAGATTATTAGATCTAGTTTATGGCTTTACGCATGCGTATGACAGTTATCAGTGCTCTGCCTAGGCGTTGAGTGGTCCGTCAGGTATGACAGTTTTGAGGCTCTGCCCGCGCGATGATAAACCTTGCCGGGTATGACAGGTACATCCCTCGCTGTGCCTGCGTGTGAGATGCCCACCAGGTATGACAGATTTTCCCTAGGGTACTAGTTGTGGTGAGAGTTTTTAATACCAAATGTTGAGGTTTTATTCAGAATCCGATACAATTAAAGGAAGTAAGACAGAGTACAATTTACTGAGTGTAGGATGGTTAGAAATAAATCACATATTGCATACGTGAATGGGGTGGTTGCTTCCATTGCATATTCATATAATTATATTGTCGTCAGGATTTGCTTAAGAATTGTTGTATGTTATCATTATTTTTTTAAGGAACTTTTATAAACCTTCCCTTTCCCCCACTCACTGAGTATTTCAGCTCACCCCTTTTTAAATGTTTTTCCCCTTTCACCAGGACCTCCCGGAGATCGTGCCGAGCAGTGAGTCTCCGCTCAGGGTTGTGCCACGCATCAACATCTTTTTATGTGGGTTTTATATTTATGTCGTATTGTATTTTTTTGGACTTTCGTTTCAAAAACTCATGTTTCCCATCATGTATTTCCTTTTGTTTATGTTTCAAAATGTGTTGTATAAGTGGAAAACTTGATACACAAGTTTCCCTAAATCTTTTTTTTTGTAAAACGAAAGATGGTGCATGTTTTTTTTGAGATGCTGGAAATGGAAATACTATAATGTTATTCAGAAAAAGTAAGTCATTTAACAGGTTTCACAGTTTTTGAACATGACACATATCGGGTATCTCAGTCTTGTGGGAGCACCCAGATCCTACGGGATGAGGAAATTCGGGATGGGTCGTGTCAGCTAACGTTTTCGGGGCAACATTCTTAATTTTCTTCCCTTCTATCCTTCTTAGTTACTCTCCAATCACTTTCTCCCACGGCGCCAATCCTGAAACAGATAAACTAGCTTTGCTCGCTTTCAAAAGTCAGGTTACCTATGATCCCTTTGGAGCATTGAGTACTTGGAATGATTCTCTTGGGTTTTCCCAGTGGCATGGCATCACTTGCAGCCTTCGACACTGAAGGGTCACAGCTCTGAATCTCCCCGACCAAAATTTGATAGGTACCATTTCTTCATACATAGGAAACTTGACATTCCTCAGAATTATAAATCTTCAAAACAACCATTTCTACGGTGACATACCACATGAAATGGGCCGTCTGTTTCGGTTGCGAGCCATAGTGTTCAACTGTAACATGTTTCAGGGAGAGATTCCCATTAATCTCACTCGTTGTTCAGAACTCAGGACTCTTGACTTAGTCATGAATAAGCCGGAAGGGACAATTCCTTCTGAACTAGGAATTCTGTTGAAATTAATTGGACTAGGACTTGCCATCAACAATCTAACTGGACCCATCCCTCGGTCACTTTCAAACATCTCGTCTCTAGAGCAGCTTTCTCTATCAGAGAACAGTCTCAGCGGCAAAATCCCTGTTGAGCTCGATTGGCTGAAGAGGCTCAACATGTTTCAAATATCGATAAATAAGTTCTTAACAGGTCCAATCCCGACCTAGCTCTTCAATATCTCTTCTATGGAGTACTTTGGTGTGGCGGAAAACCAACTTGTTGGAGAAATCCCACCTTACATTGGACTAACATTCCTAATATCCGTGTACTTCTCTTTGGGATTAATAGGTTTACAGGGGCAATACCTCATGCAATATCTAATGCAAGTAAACTTGGAAAGCTAGATTTTTCACAAAACTTTTTTACTGGCTCAATACCTATAAATCTGGGAAGATTGAAAAATCTGATCAGGCTCAACTTTGCTGTAAATAACCTCGGAACCGAGGAGGGTGATGACCTTAGCTTTCTCAAATCTTTAGTTAACTGTACCAACTTAGAAGTACTCAGCCTAAGCAATAATAGCCTTGGGAAATTGTCGAATTCTATTGCTAATTTCTCATCCCAACTTACCTATTTATACATGGGAGAGAACCGGATATCTGGTAACATCCCAACAGGTATTGGAAATCTGAAAAATTTGATCTCAATAGGCATCGAGAAGAATCTTCTCACAGGAGGCATTCTAATATCTATGGGATATCTCTTGAACCTGCAAATCTTGTCCTTGTTTGGAAACAGTTTTTCAGGTGAAATTCCTGCATCCCTTGGAAATTTAACTTACTTGATAGAACTCAGTTTAGATGAAAATTTCATACAGGGAAGCATACCTTCAACTCTAGGGAATTGCCAACTACTGCAGAGTTTAGGTCTCTCAGAAAACAACCTATCTGGAGATATACCATTTCAAGTTATTGGCCTACCTTCCTTATCAGAATGGTTGGACTTGTCTCGCAATCATCTAACTGGGTCCATACCCTCAGAAATTGGTAACCTGAAAAATATTCGACTATTAGACTTGTCACAGAATAAATTATCAGGTGAAATTCCAAGTTCGTTTGCAAATTGTATTGGCCTCGAGCGCCTACATCTGAGAGATAATTCCTTTCAAGGACAAATCCCTCCGTCTTTAAGTTCCTTAAAAGGTCTTCAAGACCTTGATCTTTCGCGGAACAACTTTACGGGAAAAATCCCTAATTTTTTGGAGACATTTCTGTTTTTGCGAACGTTAAACCTGTCCTTCAATAATCTTGAGGGTGAGGTACCAAAAGAAGGCATCTTTACAAATTCAAGTGCACTTTCAGTCACAGGAAATGCTAAGCTTTGCGGTGGAATCCCAGAATTGAATCTGCATAGTTGCCCATCCAATGGCTCCAGGAAATTCTGGCAACAACCCACTTTCAAAATAATAATTGTAACAGCTTCTTTGGCTACTTGTTTACTTTTAACATGCTTTGTGATAGTCTGTTGGAGGAGAAAAAGAAGAAGAAAAGCTTTGCTTGATTCTCCTATGGAGGATAAGTATGTGAGGATTTCTTATGCAGAGCTCTTGAAAGCAACAGAAAGGTTCTTCTCTGCCAATTTGATAGGCAGTGGGGGTTATGGTTTCGTGTATAAAGGCAGCCTATGCCATGAGGAAACACCTGTTGCAGTGAAGGTACTAGATCTTCAACAAAGGGGAGCTTCAAAAAGCTTCATTGCTGAATGTGATGCCTTGAGGTGCATTCGACATCGCAATCTTGTGAAAATAATCACTTCTTGTTCAAGTGTAGATAGCAAAGGCAATGAATTCAATGCTTTGGTTTTTGAGTTCATGTCTAATGGGAGTTTAGAAGAGTGGTTTCATCAAAATGATGAGTTTGAAAATCCGAGGCCAAATTTGAATTTGAAGCAAAGGCTGAGCATCGCCATTGATGTAGCAAATGCATTGGAGTATCTCCACCACCATTGCCACACATGCATTGTTTATTGTGATCTTAAGCCAAGCAATGTACTACTTGACAATGACATGGTCGCCCATGTTGGTGGCTTCGGGTTAGCAAGGCTGCTTTACGAGAACCCTCAGGACCAAACCAGCTCAAGTCGGTTAAAGGACTCCATCGGTTATGTCGCTCCAGGTAACACGAGCCTTTTTCTTAGAATCTCATCTCTCAAGCACCCAGTTTTTTTGGGTAAAAAAATTAAGCATTCATTTTTAATGTCCTTTCCAAGAATCAAAGGGAAGATCAATATATTTATCGTAAGTTTTCATAAACTTTTCTCTTTGGCATTGATTATTAAGTGATAGATCGGCACACTACCGATCAAATCCATTTGGTAGTACGTCATTATACCAGATTTCAACCACTTCCGACGGTGGTGATCGGAACCTGGTAAATATGGGTGAATATGGGTGTTTTTGTCAATTTCTAAACTTTTTTTGGGGGATGTTTAATTAAATTAATAAACTTAAAGGATTTAAAAATAGTTAAATAAAATATAATAGTATTTTCAGAATAAGAAACAAACTAGTATGAATAGGATAGTGAAAAATATTAAACCGAACAAACCAAATGTTACTGGCCCATAAATATTTTATGCACCATATCAAGAAATCTTGAATTATTGTTAATTGATATCATTCTTATTTGCAAAAGTAAACCCATCAAATCAGGAAGATCTCTTTTCATATTCATTATCAAGAAGGAAATGTAGGTTCAAAGAACCCGAACTTGAAATAATGCAAACAGTATTTATAGAGGATACATGTATACAACACGAAATTCCAGCTTCCTTTGTAGGTTTTACAGATGAGTTTTGTTATGTTGCGGAAGGTAAAATGACATTGATGATATAATTACTAATGGTGCGTGTGGTTCGAGAAATCTTTTAGTGTGTATAAATAATTAAGATGTTTAGTTGGGAAGAATAAAATTATTGCCAGAGACTTTTACTGAATTACCCTTCTTTTTTAATATATAATGATAATAATAATAATAATTATTATTATTATTTACATAAATTTTTTAACCCCTTATATTTGAAAATTTAGCTAAAACACCACCAACAACAAAGTTATAATTTTTAACAAAATACACCTAGCCACCTAAGACCACCGTTGACAGTTGGCCAACACTGCCGGCCACCAGCGTCAGTCACCAAAACAGTGCACGACCGACGAGATCAGGCTTGTTGTGCGCCATTTTGGCTGTTTTCGGCCAGATCGAAGGCCGAAAATAGCCATATCGTCGTGGATCTGGTCAGAAATGTCCGCTTTATTCTGGTTGTTTTCGGCTAGATCCAGGGCAATATGGCTGTTTTCTGCCTTTGATCTAGTTGAAAACAGCTAGATCGATGCATGGCCGACCAGATTTCGTTGGTCGTGTGTCAATCTGGCACCATTGTTGGTGGCCGGCGGTGGTCTTTGGTGGCTGGGGGTATTTTGTTAACTTTTAAACTTTTTGTGGTTGGGGTATTTTAGCTAAATTCTAAAATATAGGGGGTATGGGCTAATTGTTATTTGGTAGACATTTGAGGGTAATTGTGTTTGGAATGATATTTAATTTAGGCAAAATGGTTATAAAATTAAGATTACCTCGGTAATCTTTAAATATCACCCCCTGATGAGGTAATCTAATTACCTCCTATTTAACCCATAGTAATCACTATTGGTATTGAAAGATTATTGAAATCTTTTATTACTTGACAACCAAACAAGGGAATGTCCAGAATTAAAGATAGATTATCGAAGTTATTTTTCTAGAGCCTTAACCAAACACACCTTAAGAGTAAACGACCTTTTTCCACCCAAGGTTTACTTTAATGACACTTTTCCATCCAAAAAGTTTCGAAATACAATTTTAATACCCAAAGTTTATATTCCGTTACTACCCAAAATACATTTCCTTTAGGCTTTGTAATTCGGCGGCGAACAAAGAGCAAGCTGTTGGGGCTTTTGAAAATGGGAGATCAGTGAGTCTTTTGGTGGTGGCAGGTTAGATTTTGGTGGTTGAGATTAGTCAGAATCTGACTTGGATGGGTGGCTGTGTGCTCCACAAATCGCTTGGTGTTGGATAGTAACGATACTGGAATCGGCTAGCGATTGGCTACGATATCAATTTGATATAGTCTTCAAAATTTTAATAACTTTCAAAAATCGCTGAGAAGTTTGACGTTTATTGATTTCAGTCATACTTAAATTCAGTTTGATATAGTCTTTAAAATTTTAAAAATAAAAAGAAAAAAAGGAAAAAAAATTAGGTTATAAAGTAATATTGTCGAACTATTTTTACTTTATTTATGCTTGCAAATTAAAGAATATGTTTAAGAGTTTTACGTTTCAATTTTGGTAGCTTTTATGTTAGGATTTGATTAAAGTATAAGTTATTTATTGTCTAAAAAATGTTTTTATATATTTTAGGCGAATATAATAAAATAAATTGGGAAAATATTTTTTGTATTTAAAAATGGTTTAATCAATATTGTTAAAGACGTTGATAATTACTTGTTTATTGAGTTAAGTGTTTTTATTGGGAAACACAAGTAAACAAAGTAATGACAAAAACAAATTCAAAATTCAAAAAGCAACCTAAAATGAGAAGAAAATAAATAATATGAATAATAAAAATTTTAGTTTTTTTTTTTATTATTTCTAAACATTATAATTGAAATATTAATAAAATTATAGAAAATAACACTTAAATCTGTAAAAAATTTTGTTAGTATAAAAACTGTTCCTTTTAGTTTCAATAATAATTTTTAAGCATTAGATCTATGTTGTTGGTAATACTGAATGACGGCTATGATCATGTCATATGCTAAATTTCAGTGTCAATTCTATCAGGCCATCCGTCTGATCTCCCAAGCACAATCAAACGGCAGTTGCTATTTAAGTACCCAACCCTTAGTCAACCTCAATCAAAAGGTTAAATGTACTTTCATTTTAGCCGTTGGATTAAATAGAATGTTCCAAGGATCTACAATGAACTACATTAAATAAAATTAATTTATAAAAAATATAAAAATATTAATTTAAATATTACTTAAATAGTTTTTTTACTACTTTCATGATCATACTTAACTTTGTGTCAAAAGAGTTGTACGATAATTTAATATCAATAACATTAAATATATCATTATTTTGATTATATAATATGATTGTGGCTATTTTTAATTTTACATGTGTTATGATAAAAAAAATTAATTTCTACTAATAATAAAATTTAGAGTAAGTAAATTAATTGATAGAGTGTCTCACCTATTTTAGAACTCTTTCGTTTTTTCTTTATATAGCCAAAAAATTCAAGCCTTTATATATTGAAATTTTTATTTATAAGAACAATAATTAATAATTTAAGTAAAGTAGAAAGTAATTTAATTGGAAAATAAAAATATGAGACAAATTAATATAAGTGATTAGAAAGAACATGCATGAGAATGTATAGAATACTAAAAGGAAAGAGAAAATCAGTCAATGAGTTGTGATTAAAATATAAGAAAAACTTGTAAACTTTAGAAGAAATTACATTAATATTTCTCATTAAAAAATAGTTTTGCTTACTCATAATAGATTACAAGTTGGGATTTGGCAATAAATAAAACATTTTTTCGGGTGTTAATAAGAGTAATCATTAGAGTTTTTATTTGATCAATAGTTTCAGGGTCCAGATAAATTAATTGAGATACGTATAAATTGGTTTGGATACCTCCGAAATAAAACATTGAAGAGTGGATGTTTTAAAAAAGGAAATGTAAGGAATTTTTTGTGGGTCAAGAGGGGCAAGTGCCCCTCCTTGCCCCTATGTGGTTCCGTTAGTGTGACCTTGGACTCTAGATGTCATGTCAACAATGTTATAAAATCTATATACGATGGTACTAAATTATTGTGAAATTATACGATCATACAACGAAAAAATAAACTCAAGAACAAACCTTAGTACCTTGGTAAACAACGCACAAATAATAAAAGAATATTTAAAAAATAGGGCCCATCCCTTCAACAATGATATTGACCAGACCACTCTACCTACCTTCTCCATTCTGAAGACAATTTCTTAGATAGTAACAGCAGAGATTGAGCATGATCTATGGAGATCTGTTTTCATCTTTGAAATTGGGCCCATCACAACAACTATCGGTGTTCGGTGAATCTCCTCTTTCCGCACTTCTCCTTCAATCACAACTTTAATGAGCCACTAGCTTCAATAGCAGCAGCCTATGTTGAACTTAAGTAACGATAAGACATTGCAATAGTGCGTCACGATAATAAAAAACAAATAGTGGTTCATTCAATAGGATTTTCTGCAGAAAAAAAAAACAAAACAAGAAGAGTTTATCACTCATTTTAAGAGCTTTCCATGTAATTTCCTCTCGCATTGCACAATTTTTCCGCGTAAGGAGTCTTGCTTTTTGATCACCACAACATAGACTTTAGTATGTGTTAACTTAATAGCTTTGTAATATAAAGAGAAGCCATGGATTGAAGCTGAACATATACAGATTATCAAAACAGCAAGAACATATTTCTTCCATTTCATAGATTCTTACGAAAAATGAAGCTAACGTTTTCGGGGCAGCATTCTTAGTTTTCTTCCTTCTATCCTTCAGTTACTCTCGAATCACTTTCTCCCACGGCGCCAATCCTGGAAGTGAAACAGAAAACTAGCTTGCTCGCTTTCAAAAGTCAGGTTACCTATGACCCCTTTGGGCAGAGTTCCTGGAATGATTCTCTTGGGTTTTGCCAGTGGCATGGCATCACTTGCAGCCTTCGACACCGAAGGGTCACAGCTCTGAATCTCCCTGACCAAAATTTGAGGTACCATTTCTTCATATATAGGAACTTGACATTCCTCAGAATTATAAATCTTCAAAACAACCATTTCTACGGTGACATACCACATGAAATGGGCCGTCTGTTTCGGTTGCGAGCCATGGTGTAACCGTAACATGTTTCAGGGAGAGATTCCCATAATCTCACTCGTTGTTCAGAACTCAGGACTCTTGACTTAGTCATGAATAAGCTGGAAGGGACAATTCCTGCTGAACTAGGCACTTTGTTTAAATTAACTGGATTGGGCTTGCCGTCAACAATCTGACGGATCCATCCCTCAGTCACTTTCAAACCTTTTGTTTCTAGAGAGCTTTCTCTATCAGAAACAGTCTCAGCGGCGATATCCCTGTTGGGCTTGGCCAATTGAGAGGCTGAACATGTTCCAAATTTCAGTAAATAACTTCTAACAGGTTCAATTCCCTCCCAGCTCTTAATATCTCTTCTATGGAGTACTTTGCGTTGACAGGCAACCAACTTGTCGGAGAAATCCACCTTACATTGGACTCACACTTCCTAATATCCGTGTACTTCTTTTCGCGGGTAATAGGTTTACGGGGCTATACCTCACACATATCTAATGCAAGTAAACTTGAACAGCTAGATTTTTCAAATAACATTTTACTGTGGTCAATACCTGTAAATCTGGGAAGATTGAAAAATCTGACCTTGCTCCACTTTGCTAGAAATAACCTTGGAACTGAGGAGGGTGATGACCTCAGTTTTCTCTCTCGGTTAACTGTACCCACTTGAAAGTACTCAGCCTGAGCAAAAATAGTTTGCGTGGGAAATTGCCGGATTCCAGTTGCTAATTTCTCATCTGAACTTACCTATTTATTAATGGGACAAAACCGATATCTGGTAGCATCCCAACAGGCATGAAAAACTCAAAAGTTTGATCCAATAGGCCTGGAGGAGAATCTTCTCACAGGAATCATTCCAATTACTGTGGGATATCTCTCGAAACTACAGATATTGTCCATATTGGAAACAGTTTAGGTGAATTCCTTCCTCCCTTGGAAATTTAACTTACTGTCAGAACTCAGTTTAGAGACAAATCCATTCAGGGAAGCATACTTCAGTCTAGGGAACTGCCAACTACTGCAGAATTTAGGTCTCTCAGGAAACAACCTTTCTGGGGCCATCCATTTCAAGTTATTGGTCTACCTTCCTTATCAGGATGGTTGGACTTGTCTCGCAATCATTTAACTGGCCCTGTACCTTTGGAAGTAGGTAGCCTGAAAAATATACGAATGCTAGACTTATCAGAGAATAAATTATCAGGGCAAATTCCAAGTTCACTTGCAAATTGTCTTAGCCTGGCGAGCCTAAATCTGAGAGAGAATTCCTTTCAAGGACATATCCCTCCTATAAGTTCTTTAAAGGTCTTGAAGACCTTGATTTTTCGCAGAATAACTTTACAGGGAAAATCCCCAATTTCTGGATACATTTCTGTTTCTGCAAACGTTAAACCCGTCCTTCAATAATCTTGAGGGTGAGGTACAAAAGAGGTATCTTTAAAAATGCAAGTGCAGTTTCAACATAGGAAATGGTCAGCTTTGCGGAGGAATCCCAGAATTGCATTTGCATAGCTGCCATCCATTGGCTACAGGAAATTATGGCAACGACTCGCTTTCAAATAACAGCTTCCTTGGCTATTTGCTTGCTTTCATATGCTTTGTGGTATAGCTGTTGGAGGAGAAAAGGAAAGAAAGCGTTGGTTGATTCTCCTATGGAGGGTAAGTATTTGAAGATTTCTTATGCAGAGCTCCTGAAAGCAACAGAAAGGTTTCCTCAGCAAATTTGATAGGCAGTGGGGGCTATGGTTTCGTGTATAAGGCAGTCTAGGCCGCGAGGAAACACCTGTTGCAGTGAAGGTACTGATCTTCAACAAAGGGGAGCTTCAAAAAGCTTCACTGCTGAATGTGACGCCTTGAGGTGCATTCGACATCGCAATCTTGTGAAAATAATCACTTCTTGCTCAAGTCTAGATAACAAAGGCAATGAATTCAAGGCTTGGTTTATGAGTTCATGCCTAATGGGAGTTTAGAAGAGTGGTTACATCAAAATAATGAATTGGAAAATCCGAGGTCAAATCTGAATTTGATGCAAGGCTGAGCATCGCCATTGATGTAGCGAATGCATTGGAGTATCTCCACCACCATTGCCACACACGCATTGTTCATTGTGATCTTAAGCCAAGCAATGTGCTACTTGACAATGACATGGTTGCCCATGTTGGTGATTTGGGTTAGCAAGGCTACTTTATAACACCTCCTCAAGACCAACCAGCTCAAGTAGGTTAAAGGGCTCCATCGGTTATGTCTCTCCAGGTAACACCAACCCTTTTCTTAGAATCTTATTAAGGCTGCATTTGGTTCTTGAAAGGGTAACAGAAGATAAAAGAACAAGTATTTTTTTTTTAAATAAAAAATTTAAGAATTGATTTTCAATGTCCTTTTCAAGAATCAAAGGGAGACTACAGATTTTTCAGTAGTTGTGAGTAAATTTTTTCTTTCGTATTAAGTGTTCATTTTTAATTAAAAACAGAGTATGGATTATCTGGTGGGTTTCAACATATGGAGATGTGTACAGCTTCGGCATCCTATTGCTGGAAATGTTGACTGGAAGGAGACCAACCGATGACATGTTCAGGAAGGCCTTAGTCTACACAGCTTTGTAAAGATGTCAGCACCAGATCAAGTGGCTGATATCGTGGACTCAACAATTCTGGAAGAAGCTCTTCAAGTCCAAGATTGCCGAGGCATATTGCAACAACCTTACAAGGCAAGATTCACGAGACTCTAGTCTCGTTGTTGAGACTAGGGCTCCAGTGCTCCGCGAATTGCCAAGCGAAAGAAAGCAGATCAAAGATGTAGCCGTGGAATTGCAAGAAATCCGAAATTGTCTTGGCTTTCAGGTTATAAGCAGTTTAGATACGTCACTATAAGCACTTTAACATTGCACTTACGAATAAAGTGATCAAATTCAATGTAACATGTTGGCAGAGTGAAAGAGGTTTACTGATCTAGGGTTTTGAAATGAAAAGAGAAGGATGGGGAAGAAGAAGATGAAAAGCGGTCGGGTGAGAGGTAACCGGAAA